TTCTAAGCGCTGGGTTGTGATATGGAGGAAGACACCTGGGAAGATTTCACTAAACTATGATGCAGGTGAACTCATCAAGGTTACAGCCAGTCATGCTGCGACTAGAAGACACAGAGTGCTGTTGGGAACTGATATATGTTTTGAGGAGACTCCAGGCAGGCCTGTCTGGAAACAAAAGGGTTTAAATGGACTGGCCTAAGAATCTGCGTCTGCCTGTGTGCAGCTGCCAAGGCGCCGGCATTTCAAAGGGAGCTTTTGGAAAACTTAAAAAACTAAAAAAAGAAGAATATAAAAGTTTTTTGTTTTTGTTCCCCTCCCTTTCATTTTCTGAGTAAAAATTCTTCCATGTGTTTAAATCTGTTCAGCGGGTGGAATGGGTGAAAGTCGAGGGATATTTATGTCCTTTACTCGAGTCAAGCCAAGGTTGACTAAGGGAGTTCATGAAAAGAGTAAACAGCAGAGTGCGTCCTGTAGGTCAGGATTGTCATGACATCGCCCCCTGCTGTTTAAAGCTCGATACAGACGGCACACGTGAAAGCTGGTATCTAAAAACTTGCACCATTGCACAATGGAAATGATTTTTCATCAACTGGAAACAAAACTAATCTGACTCAACATTTACTACACCTTATCAAAGTAACTGAATCTCAAACATTTTATGAAGTTGTGACATAATGTAATATCCCTTAGATGAGACCACTATGGGGTCACCCTGTTGAACGCAGGCGTAAAACAGGAAAAACTCAGATCATCAAGATAAATGATTATTTTTTAAAAGTCTTGTTTTACTCAGGGTTTTCCCTTCTGCTTTTATAGCTTACGACAGAGGAACGTCATTGGTCCCAACAAGTCTGCTGCCTTAACATTTTTAATAAACACTTCTTGTCAATGACATCCATCAAATATGTAGAAAAATATCTACAACTTTAAACAATGTTAATAGATTTTTTATCCACGTTTTTAGAGATATCCGTCACATTATACAAAAACAAAAAACTGCTCTGTAGAAGTTTCGTCTCGCTACTGATGTTGATGCCAACCTGACAAGAACAATACTGATAAGGTATTGTCATATTAAGTAAATTATTATTGAAAAGTTCATATATTTACTAACTGAAAAGCATTTCCCAGTGTTTCAAGTCTTGCATCTAAAGAAAACATTTAAGATCAGAATTTGACTAAAAATTACCTTTCTAATATGGAAAAATGGTTTTAATGAAAAACAGGTTCGCTACCTGACAAGCGTATACATAACGTAAACATATTTTCTAATTTTTTGAAGACGACTACAGCTCATGTTCTAACCATTTGTTTTGTCTTTATTTGCTTTAGAGACCATCTTAAACGGGATTTAATTGGTGAATAATGCATTACTTTTTTGTGCTTTGTTCACCATTTATTAAAGGGAGGGTACAAAATAAAATCTGAGGTTTATATCATGTTATAACATCATCAAAAACATACTTTGACTGTAACTTGGACTCAATCATGAATACTGAATCTCCCATGACAACCAGTAGTCAATGCTTTTACCAAGCTTTTCAGGCACTTTTACATCATCTTACTCTACTGTGCTTCCTGCAATAACTTAAGTTGGAGAGTCTTAGCGGTGTCAATCCACTTTGTGGACGTGATGCTGCATGCGCCAATGGCATAAAAATAGCTCACCGTTACAGGAAAACAGCTTATCTGCAGTCATCGGTGTCTATGCTAAACAGCCTTCGAATTCATGCCGGATTCTGCAGAAAGCAGATGCATTGTAGCAAGGGGGTGAGCGCCACACAGACAGGCATGATTGACAGCACTAAGGCCTTCCTCCTGGCTCTGATTGGTTGTTTAGCACTGGATTGTCTCATACTATATTGTCACTACATAGTGACAGTTTTAACAAATATGTAGAAAAATATTTTTTATAAGTTACATAATGTAGGTCAGAAAGCCAAAATAGTCGGCGGCTAATCTTAAATAAAAATATGCACATCTGTCCCTCTGTGCTGGTCTGCTTTGCTTTTTCTTTTACATATTTCTCGCTCTTTTCTTAAATCTCTAAAGTCTGTATATGCTCTAATCTTGTGAAAGCAAAGTAAAATTCCTTGCTTGTTTGCACAAACTCGGCCAATAAAACCTATTTTAATAGTTTTATACTGGCCATGGTCTGAACAAGAAAACAAATCTTTTCCAAGCACAGAGTAGACTGGAAAGCTATTGAAAATTATTGTTTTGAGTACCCAAATCTAGTTATAATTGGGTGATAATTGCCAACAAGAAAAATGGTCTCCACCATCTACCAGCAGATAGGAGAAGCACGATTGCAAATCACATCGCATGAGGTACTTTTTTTTTTTTTTAAATCAAGTGTCTCATTAAATAGTTTATGCCTAGATAAGAAAATAAAAATGAGATAAATAGAGCAGACGGATGAGACGCCAGGAGTCCTGGAGGGAGGAAAAGTAGGGGAGTCTAACTGCCATTATACCGGCTGATGAGATGCAGCGTTCACCGTTGGTCCCCTTCCCTCTGTCTGCAGTCAACACAGGGAAATGTCTTTCCTTAATCTCCTTACATAATAACATCCACCCTGACCCAGACCAAGGAGAATGTCCTGCATCTCATTCACAACTCTCCAAACAAATTTTAAAAAACAGGAGGGAATCTGTCAAGAGGGGAGGCTGGAGAATCTGAAGTGATTTCATCTTTCAGGAAACTACATTTTAGTGTCTCGGTAATGTGGAGAACAGAGAAACGGGCGGTTCAGACTGAGCACTTTGTTTTTTTTTCCTCCCCTTTTTATTATTCTTAGTTTCCATGGAGAGAAACTATATATAACCAGCTCTCTCCCTCTCCCAACAGGCTGTCTCAATTCATAAATCTTTTCTTTGTCATCTTCCCTTCCCATTGTTCCCGCAAAGAAGACAGCAGGAGACAACATCTCGATTCAATGAGAAAATCCTCCCAATGCCCGGTCGTAATGGCAGGAGGGGGGGACGTCCAGGCGGACCAGACAAACCAAAACAACCCAGACTGACGGACAAACCAGACACTACGGCGATTTCCCCTGGCCTTCTGGCCCATCTCCCGTTTTCAGAAACCAGTGGCTTCAAAGGAATAATTCATTTCACAGTCTGGTGGCCAGACACAGAGCCCCAAGACTTTCACCCCTTCAAACACCTGAAAGAACAAAAGCAGCGTTGGGACTCTGCTTCACCTTTTTCACTGCTGATACGACACACAGCAAAGAGGCCAAATCACATCTGCCTACATCCATCTTTTCCTACCCGAACCCCTAATCAGTGTCCGATCCAAACCAAAACAAGTTTTGCCATTACAGTCTGGTTCAGTGCAGACTTGAATGGAGTCATGGAAAAGTTATGGCATGATTTTAAAAAGCTGGTCATTACTTTGTCAATTTTTAATCAAGGAAACCACTAATTATAAAAGCAGTGTGCAACAATTACAGAAAATATGCAACAATTACCGACATCTAGTGGTAAAGTGGGAGATTGCTATCATCTAAACTTTCATTCATCAACTACCCAGAACTTATCAGTAGACAGATGTGAAGTTACACTAACTAAATGTGTGCATAAGCCGTTTCTGCTGCCAAAAGCTTTACTCAACAATGAATGAATATGTGTAGTTAATCTTAATAAAGGAGATTAAAATTTACTGCAACTTTTTTCCCCTTCATTTGTCATGTAGCTATTGTAAGTTATTTTTGTCAGTCGACTCCTTCAGATTATTCTTTGTATTGTATTTCCAGCAGTGAAAACATCTTCAAATATTTGCTTCCCTGCCCCTTCAAAGATTTATTACACGTTTGCTTTTCTTGGCACACTTAAACATCTAACACTCAAAAACACAAAATCTCACCAAGATTGGTCTGATTGAGGTAAAGCAAAAGCTAATTTTACAAGTAACTCTTTAGCAATATGTAGGATCTTGTTTTAATTCAATAATTCCTTTATATTTATGAAAAGTACTTGTTCCATTGGCAGATTATTTCACTTATGGGAAAAATATATTGTTATTGTGAAATAATGTGCTAATGGAGGAAGTACTTTTTCACCAATATTAAATAATTACTGACTTAAAACACAGATTTCAAATAGTAAAAGCAAGCACCATCAGTTTAGTGATTATTCTGAAGGATCGTTTGCACTACTGCTAATGTATTCATGTGACATGGCTGGTCACTTGAGGAAGCAAGTAGCCATGTTGATGTTTACCTGCATGACAATGGCCAGAAATGGTATTATGGATGGCAGCAAAAGGTGTTTTCACTTTGAAACGAAAAATTGACCAAAAATTAGTTTTTGGTCAAGGCCTGAAAGCCTGGGATGTCATGAACTGATTAATGCATAAAGAATTTAACTGTTAATTTTTATTTCTTAAACCTAACATATACATGTCTCATCTGCCGTTAGCAGTACTGCTTACCTTTTTTCTCAGTTTCCCAGTGTTAAAGAGCTAGTCGACAGATTTGGTTCATTTGCAAGTGTCACAACCTCAAACCGTAGCTAAATTGCAAACCAGTTACTCAGTAATTACAGAATACAACACACCATTAGTCACCAAATTAAATCTCTAAACTTACTTCTGCTGCCCAGAATCAACACAAACAGATGTGTTGCCTCAGTTAAGTCTGAGGCCATAGCATGACATTTCCATGACGCCGATTAAAATAAAAAATAAAAAATACTTTTAAACTGTCCAAACTGCAACCTGATTCAATCTCCTGAAGACAGCCGCTGGCTCCAGACTTCTTGAATCACTAAGACATTCTCTTACATTGACAAAGTGCTGCAGTTTGTCTGTGTTTGAAGAGAGACGGACCAAAGATGCAGTCTACATTACATACATCAAAGTCAACAAATTTCCCACTATCTCAAATCTTGAAGCCAAAAATGCCACAGCATCCAAGTGAAAGGTGTATGGCAAACTTCTCACTGCCATGCAAATACGTTTGGTAGATTTATGTCGTTTAAATTTAATAATCTTACCTTAGAGGCCCTTCGGTGGTCAGGACACTCAGGGTACTGACAAACCACCCAGTCTTCCTCCTGGACTGGTTTATCATCTGAAAGAGAACACATGGGTCACTCTGACATTTCTTTATGAATAAAGACACATTAAAATCAGCCACCCAGCAGCCTTAACTTCCACCAACACACCTTTCTTGGTAGGGATGTAAGAATACATTGCTAAGTTTAAGACTAAAAGTGTGTGTGTTTATTCAACGGTGAAGTGAGTAAAGAAAAAACGGAGAGCGGTTGTAAGCGCAAGAAAGTCATCGGTTAGTCGGACAGGCCATGTGTATAAAAGCAGAAGAAATTGGCTAAAGAGATCTATTGATGGAAAGGTAAACAGAAGAAAAAAAGGATGGGATTTTTTTTGAAAGAACATCAAAGAGAAATAATGACTAAAGAGACAGGAAGCAAAAAAAGTAAATGAGAGGAAGGCCGGTCTGCTTATTGTAGGAAAGTGCCCTCATCATGGGGGAGCTTGCCGCTTTCAACTGCACGACAACAAATCACCATTGTCAAATAAACCCCCAACATCGATTTGACTGGCTGTATTGAGGCCACGATAAAAGGCAGTGTTTACATCTGTGCCTTCGACACGTACACAAAAGATAACAATGTCATAACAGAGACCGTGAGTGCACCGGTATTTATTGGTCCGCCAAATGAGCAAAACATAACAGGGGGAAAGGAGAAAGGAAGGGCAGGAAAGTGAAGTAGAGATTGGCAGTAAAGGTGCCATTTGCAAAAGTTCTCAAATTTCCAAAAATTACGACAAAAACCCTTCCGGTGTGCCAAGACGGCTGGTCATTGCAATATGAGTGGTGGAATAGCAGTAGATCTTCTGTAATGGAGATGGAGCGCTACGAGAAAATGAAGTCACTTTGTGGCTGTTCTTTAAGGCCAAAAACAACAATAATGCATCAGTAAGAAGGAAATGGTCAAAAATCTGTACTGCTGCAAACGGAAAATGTCACCTTTAGTCATGCAGTCGGATTTAACAGCCCTTGTAGGTCAGGGGAAAATGGAAAAACGCTGTAATTGGTGCATACCTTTCAATCCTTGGCCTCCCCACAGGAACGGGTCAGCCGGCCTACACGTTAACATGCTAAATAACAGTAAAAACAAGACTAAGTAATAATGATTGATGTGAAAATACAGCGTATGAGTTAACTTCTAATACAAATCCACTGAAACTTTTTTTGTACACTCTTCAACCAGTCCAACCATTGCCCCATTCTCAGCGCTCACTTTCACAAAACAATAAATGTATTTTGTTACCACAAAAGTCAGTGTAATCTATTTAGATTTTATATGATTATGCGCAGAGTGTGACATGTTTTTTGTCTTTTTTATTTTGACAAATTTTGTCGAGGACGGCAGTGAGATTAGATGAAATACATCTAAAAACAGTTTTACGTACTTCAAGACTCTCAGCAATGATTGTTCTAGAGTTACGCATTTGGAATATTTTCTCCATTTTCACTTTCCTTTTAAAAAAAATTATAAAGAAAAGGACAGATGAAAAATAAAATAACACTGTTTTAAACAGACTAGAGTGAAACAACAAATGCTTTAGTAATGAGGCATATGCCCTGACCGTTGGACAAATACTTTTACTTGCACTGTTATACTAATATGGTAATGTTCAGGCACTATTCAGTAAATTGAATTAAAACATCCTTAAAGAAGATGAATAGTGACAGGGTAGTTGTGCCCAGTAACCGTCATGTATCCAAGAGGATTCATCCTCATTTGACATGAGAGCCTGAACATCAGCCCATTAGACAATCACTGCAATCATGCAGCCTCGACCTAAACAGCAGATCTGGTCTCAGGTCCCTGCCAGTATATGAGCTAAAACCTTTCTTTGAACACCTTTCAGTAATCCAGCTGAAGCAGAGTCTATTTTGTCTGACTTCAACCACCTTCTGGGAAGAGGTGAGGGGGGGAAATGTCTCTCCTGTGTCTCCTCTCTGCTGGAAGAAGGCCGAAATGCACTCTCAGTCATGACTACGGCCACTGCCAGAAGGCTTCAGGGATAATGGTTCCCTGTGGGTTTACAAAAGCAGCCGGCTGCAGAAGGAGCCTCCAGCTGAAGCGTTTCCCAAAGATCTAGACCCTTCAGCATCACAGCCAAACTTCACAGCTATGCACGAAACAAATGCTATTTGGCCTCACTGGTGACATATCAGATCACAGCGATCTGGAAAAGTTATCACCCTGACAGTGAAGTATAAATGTTCAGAGGCCATGCCATGTTTCAGATCAACTCAAAACCTAACCATGGCGAGACGCAGAGGTTCATAATGGAGGGTTCATATTTTCATCCTGTTCATTTACTAAATATTTATTTTAGATCTAAATATTTGGTTGATAGACTGAATATTTAGCTTGCTAATTAAATATTTAGTTTGAAACAGGTATGAATTCATCACAGTGAATTAATACCATGATGAAAATATAGTTAAAAAAAAATTAATGCTCATTGTTTTCCATAATAGCCTAAATAAATTCAAGGTTTCATAATATCATGCAGCTGTAGTAGAGCTCCACCATTGCATTGCTCTGACGAGCAGCATCAGCCTCAAGTAAAGACAAATCTTATCCAAAAGCATTTTAGAAAAAAATGACATTTAATGCATGGAAGACACTAACTAAATGCTCTATGCAATCCCACTTTTAAAAAATTAGCATCCAAGACTTGGAGATACAGATCAAGATGTTGTTTATACACTTTTTACTTAATTTGAGCTATTATGAAGATCTACGTTAAAACAGGAGCTTTTTCATCCAAGCTTTGTCAAAAAGGGGGGAAAAAAAAAACAATGAATATACGACACCCACAAACAGATAAAGTCAGAATCAAACTTCGTTTTGGAGCCTGAATTTAAAAAAAAATATACATATTACACTAAAGATTTTTGCAACATGAGTTGTTGGAAAAAAAAATTATGAAATATTGAATTTTTAAAGACAGCAATGATTAAAGTAACATTTTAAATCTAATCTCAGAATACATTTTAATAAGCATGTTAGTGAACACACGATTCAATACTGTTGTAAGAAAGCAATCCCCACAACCAAGCTCTGCTTTTGATGTAAAAAAAAAAAAAATCAATTTCTTGATAATTCAACTTTAGGTTTGTTTAATTTAATACAAGACAGAGTCCAATGCAGTTTATTTTATAATAACCAGAGTTGTAAATGATATTCCTAAATAAGCTTCCCACCCTAAGAGCTAACCTTCCCTCAACCCTCTCCTGATTACGGGTTTCATTGTAAAACACAGCTCTATCTGCTGAACCTCCATCTTCTCTCTTACTTGTTCATATCTTGCTGACTCTCTGACTTTCTCTCTCTGATGAACTGGAATCCCTGAACTCAGCAGTGCTGATTAAGCCAAAAAAGCAAACACAAGCACACACAGCGCACGAACACACGTGACGGTGGACAATGAGTCTGCACACTAAAGAGACGGTTGTGTGTCGCGTCCGCACAGCCCCTGTGCTGGCCTGCTTCAGCTCGACGAGACACTGCCCGGGGGAAAAGATCCTTTAGGTGCCCATAAATAAGCCAGAGCAGTCAAGGCCAGCTTAAATCAACCACGTTGAGTGTATCGGTTTCCATTTCCATTCTTTGCATTCTCTTAATTCGAAATTCTTCCTTCAATTTAGGGATTAGATTGCATCCTACAAAGGCAAATCATAAGTTTAAATGTTCAGTGAGATCTGAAATTTTAATAACCAATGTTCTACAGCTACAAGCAAAAACACCTTATATCAAAAACATATTTAGAAATATTGAAATAAATGTCCTTGGGCTGCAGGAAATGAGACATTTTACAGCAAATCCTAAATAATAAAAGCTTATTAATTAGGGAAAAGATTACGCAATGAGGCAAAAGAAAGTCAAGAAAAGTCATTAAAGTCATCCCTACAGCATGTTCTTTCTGGTTTTACTGTGATATCCTACATGAAGTATGTCTGGAGTCCAGGGTTTGCAGCTTCGTTGCTTTTTAAACATCACATTTGCCAACTGTGCACTGCCCAAAATCTGTTATTACTGTGACTCACTCAGGAAAACTGAGCCCACAGCGGTTCCTGTGCTGCACTGTGGAGCCAGTTAGCTCCTGTGATGAGAATATGAGATGAAACACTGAAGTTTTACATTTCATCTCAACAAGATCTTTTCCAACTGCTCTGCTTACGCTGCGTTTAAATTTATATGCAAATTTTGTGGAAAAAAAATAATAAAAAAATTGAAGATAAGAATTTGATGAATCTGACAACTAAATACAATTAAACTAAGGGTGGAGTGAGAGAGAAAAAGAACTATGAAGCTTTACAACATGCACACAGTTGACTGCAAACTCATATTAGTCATGTTGGAAGATGTTCACTTTGATAATTCACATTTCATTTTCCTGGGAATGTCCTGCAGAACTGCATAATAAGCAGTGCGCACCATTTTGTTTACCAAATGAATCTGGGTTTTCCCCAACAGTCAAAGTATTTTTCACCCTTTATAATGGTTTTTACTGTGCGGGAACAACTGTATTGGATGTTGCCGCTTTCTGTCTGTATGATGTCAGTTGCACATGCCAAGACAGCTGTCAATGTCTGTAGAGATTCACACAATTCATTTTTCCAAGTCAACTCAATCATTTGTTGGGGTAAAAATATCAGAGCCAAAGACTTAAATAGGCTAAGCGACCTGTTAAAGAAGGCTGGTTCTGTTCCTATTGACTTTTCTGGATCATCTGTAGATTATTGTGCAAAGATACATATTTCAGAAAACTCAAGCAAAATCACAGACAACCCTGAGCATCTTAACAAGATCATTAAACAACGGGGAGTCTGCAGCCAAAAGCTTCATCAGAATTAATGCAGCACACCGCTACAGCAGATCTTTTCTGCCTATTGACAATTTGAGCGCAACGTTGTGCTCATCTGAAAGCGGCCCACTAAAACAACCTCTGTGTGTGCCATCTCCTGTGAAGGTTATCCAAAAATTGTGTAGGATTCCATACATGAGAAAACAATGTGATCTAGTG